AGAGGTATTACAGTAACAGAGAGTTTTATGCAAAGCACTGAAGTAGGTTTGTGGATGTCTGTGCAATATGTGGGATATTATGGAAGAAGGTGCAAAGGTGTGTGTTTGAATATTTAACTACCAGATGATAGAAACATCTATAATTGATGCAGGTTTGGATTTAACTGTGGGCAGTGCAGAGTAAATTTCAGCCCCTTGTCAGTCTCAACTCATGACTCTTCCCTCATGCTGAGAGCTCCTAACTCCCAGCATTGCTTGGTAGTTTCTGACTTAGCAGCCCTGACCACCATTGCAACTTTCTAATCACATTTCCTTCCCTGTCTTGTGAGACAACACAAGTCACCTTTCACTCTCATGAGACAATACAGGAGGAAGAAGAATGAGGACATCCAGCCATATCTCCACCAAGTACAAGGGCTGAGTCCACCTTTGTTAAGAGTCTAAAAAAGTTTGCTTTTCTACAGTCACTTAGGATCAATCCAGCATGAATACACAGGACTGTATTGATATCTCACAGGAACCAACATAATATCCAGTCTGTCTGTACTAGATATATAGATATAGGAGCTATTGAATATCCAAGTTTTATAAAGCTGACACAAATATTCAAGAAAAAAATTGGAATTTACCTACTTTTTGACTGATACATAGAGGCATACAATTAATACAAATCTACCCTAACTACTCGTCAGTGACTAGAATGACAGATAGATGTCCTAGGATACTAGCTATGATGACTGTGCTGTCCAAGACAAATGTGTTTTTCTGTTGCTACTTGAATCATTTTTTAATATTGCAATAGAATTTTTTCAAGGTATTATAAAATGTTGTTAAGCAATATTAAAACATCATGAGCTAGATCCTGTTCTAAGATGCAACCATTCTGTTCTGTTAATGAAATCAGGCCTTAAAGGTGCCACCAGCAGTGTGCCCTGTAGATTAGATAAAGCAAGTGCCCATAACCAGGGTATAAATGCCTTTTCTTCATTCTTTGTTCACCAAAGAAAAAAGATGACCTGGCTACAGGACCACTATCTATGTTATTGCAATCTATGGTCATTTGTTTTTTATCTTTCCAAGCTTCTGCAAGCTGAAAAAACATCTCTGTGCACAACAACAACACTTCTAAAACAAATTGGTCTTGAACCAAAAATGCTCCACACAGATATAAGCCATCCACCTTCCCATGCTGCCAAGAGAAGCAAATGCAAAATATTAAATAGTGCATATTTTCAGTGTTTGAATTGAGTGCTCAGCAGTGGAGCATATAAATACATACAAGAGTCTCTTTATGGCTAACAAGCTTAGAAAGGTTTTCAAGATAAACTAACTGAACATGGTGAAATAAGGTTTCACATGTGTCAGCCCAGGATCTCTGTGAACCTGGAAACAGTACTATCTGCTGTTGGAACAAATCTGAGCAATCAAATGACTAGATAAATTCACCCCACTGGTGCTGTTCTGGAGTGCACTCCCATCTCACAGCACCTTGCCTGGACACAATCTATGATACAACATTCACAGCATGAAGGGAGAGCAAGTAAAGTTGCCTATGAAGGCTTCATCCTACTACTGAGTCTCTTGTTGGGAATCTCCAGCTTCCTCTGCTGGCCTGTAATAGGGCCCCTTTACCCTAATCTCCAGTTCATATTCAAAAACAGTTAAAAAGTTAGACCTTTGCAATATAGGAGTGTGGCAGTTTACCTCCTGAGTTACCATTCAAATGAAAACAATAAATAAATTTCATGATGCACTAAACTGCATCAAAACTGCATCAAAACATAACCTTTGCAGTTTTCTGGCATTTCTGCTTCCTTATACTGACTAAAACTGGGGCATTCATCATGAATTTTGCATTTAGTTCCAGACCTCATACAAACTGAAAAAGGAAGGACAAGATCAGCAGAAATATATCTAAGAAGTGAACACTCAAAAGGATGGTGAAAAACTGCTTTGTTTCTTTGTGGCTATTTCCCTGGCGTGGCATGCAGTTATTTAAAGAGGGCATTATGAGTCCCTGCCGACAGCAAGACAGATGATTCTAAATGAAGCTGTGCACTTGGTAATGAGGACTGACCAAAATGCTTAAGAGCTCTGCTTCAGAGCAGGCTCCCCAGGACTAGATGGTAAAGATCATTTACTGAGAAAGCTGTAACCACATTATTATTATTATACAAGCCTGACAATTTATAAATTCAACTGTGTTTTACAGGCGTGCACTAGAAAATGTGCAAGTTGCTCTGTACATGGTAACCCATCATATTTAATGTTCTCTACTCCTTGGAAATTCCCTCCTGTATGTGAAGAGATATGTTTCAGTGTCTTGTTAGGGACACCTTATCTGCTTCGTATTTTGCATGCAAACCCTCTGGAGATCATTACACCCTCAGGTTGTAGGGCATCAGATCCTCAGCTACCGTGAACCAGCTTAACTCCAATGACAATCTGGCTGAAAGAGGCCATTGTAGAATAAAAATGTGCATGATGTTAAGTATCATTGATATGAAGTAACTCATCTTTGGTTATAACCAATAATCAGCAATGCTTTCGGTACCACACATAGAGAAGTCAGCACAGAGCTCCCTTTCCATTTAAAAAATTTAATAGGAACTACCTAACTTCCATGACATTCTTTCTGTAATGGACATAATCAGGATGTAAATTCTCTTGTGATATGACTACACTCACATCAAAAGGTGCTGACCAAGAAACGGCACTCCGTTATGCAGAATGTTGTAGAGACACACAAATTCTACCTCCAAAGAGATCCTGATTGAAGACACGACAAATCGTCAGAGTAAAAAGGGCAAATGCATATGCAGTAATATGCTTCTGCTTTTGTTAATACTATTACTTAGCATTTCATATTTAAAACAGTATGCAAATACCAAAGGCTAATTGTTGACATCAGTAAAAAAGGGGATGATGCTTTTTCAGCTTCTTCCCAGACCTTCTGGAGATTGCTATCATCGTGCCATGCAATATAGGACCTATGCTGTAAGGGAGCATTAAAGTAAATATTAAGATCTACTTATTTTTAATCAGTGCAGAAGTGTGACCAGAAGTCAATGTTGGTATTAAAATAGGAAAGACGTGCAGGGATCATCTAAAACAGCTACCATAAATAGCATTTCCTAGAGTGTTTTAAGAAAGTTGAAGCCTATGGGCAAACAAAACAGATCAATAGTTCATACAGAAAAGTCTTAATAATTTTATACTTTTCAAAGAACAGAGCATGGCCTCTAGATTACTTCCTATTCTCTAAATTGTCATACATAGAAAAAATATTCTTATTAAACTGAATCTAGTGTGTAGAAGGGCAGCTCAGTAGCAAAGCCAGGGTGCACACACCTGGGCACTTGGTTCTAGTCCTGCCAACAGCCCATTCTGGTACTGGATCAAGCCGTGATTTGGGTGGAAGCTCAATGCTGAGCACATATTTTTGAGCAGATTGGGTCTCCCACTCAGCCTCCACATTGACCTCTGCCAAACAGATGATCTTTTGCTCAAAGCTTGCAAGCCATAACCCTTCTGTCACCTCAAGCTACCAGTTATTATTATTATTATTACAAGTGCTGCACTGCACTCAGCTCCTGAGCTCTGGAACAAAACCAGACATATTTATGAGAACAAGAAAAGCACATGTATCATGCCAGAGAACCTGCATAACTGTTGCATATGTCTGAGTCAACCAAATCAGTCAACAGCAATTTCAGTCTTTAATTCCATTTTAGAAAGTGTGGAGTTACTCAGTCCTGAACCTATGCCAGGCACTGCAACAAAACCAACACTGCAACTGAAGCATCAGAGCGGGAGAGCTACACCCCTGTCATTAGCATATGGTAGACAATAACATATGCATGAAAAACAAGCCAGAGGTGAAGTATGATTCCAGAACACAGAACTATCTGAAAAGTCTAAACATAGAAAAAGCGCTCGCTAAGATCTGCTACCAGGATGCTGCAAAGCCATGGGATGTTAAGAGGCATCCAGGTGAGACTTCGCAATGCACATGAAAAGACGGATGGTGAATCAAGAAAATCAGCAACCCCAGTATCAGCTAAAATGAAGGTGTCACAGCAGATACACACAAAGCTTTTTTTCCCTGTGGCCTAATCAAATAGTTTATAAAACTTAGAAAATATTTTTATTTATACTAGTACAGAGCTTCTTGTGACAGTCTTTTCAAGATTTCTTGCCTCAATGGTTACTTGGAAAATTAGAAGAGGTTTACAGGCTTGTTAGGTTGTAAAGAAGCTAGTTTTGACCGTGGAGAAGACAAGGTCCCATGGATAACTTGAATTTGCAACTATGTATCTTTTTAACTACTCCTTCCATCGGCACTTTGGAAAGGTTATGGCAATTGCAGCTTGCTGGAAAATTATGATATCAAGAAAGCTCTTTCACCACAGAGCATCTGTTGAGCTCATAAACACAGTGCAACCACTAAAGAAGTGAACTAAGTGCTGTATTCCTGTACCCTCCACCTGAGATCGCAAAAGGGAGTAACATGGTTGTCATCTGTGCCTTTCAAATGTGAAGCTCACTAAAGACTACCAGTATTTGTGAAAAGCCATATATTAAATCCCACCTAATAAACAACAAGGGAGAGCTAACGTCCCAGTCATCGTTCCTCAGCCACCCTCTCATCGCTTCACTTTGCGGAGCGAACGAGCAACCTACTCCGCAGGGCAACGCCGAAGCGCCGGGGCTGCACCGGCACGGCTCCAGCCCCTGGCTTCCCCGGCCCCCGACAGAGAAAAGCTGCTCGTCTCCGACACAGCCCCCTCGGGAAGCGCCAGCCCCAGAGGGCAAAACGGTCACACAAACCTTCCCCCCCGAGCAGCGCAAGGTGGCTTCGCCCCGCTAACAGGAGCCCCCGGCGGCCGCTGGTGGCCGGACCGCCCCGCTCCGCACACCACCGCACCGCGGCGGCCGGCGCCCCCCGCCGCTCGGGGACGCCTCGGCCGGCCGGACCCACACCCGCGTCCCCCACTCACTTCTCCCCAGCGCCTCCGCCTTCCACTCTGTCTCCTCTATTGCCCCGTAGCGTCTCATCGGTCTCTCGGCCTCCGCGCTGGCCGAGATGGACCTCCTCAGCTCCATGGCCGGGGCGGGCGGCGCGGGGCTCCGCGGCTCACTCCATGCCAGCGGGGCTGCGGCCCGACTGCCGCGGAGCCAACGCGAAGCTCACCGCTGCTCTGCGCGGAACGGGGGCCCGCGGGGCGGGGGGAGGAAGGGGCTCTGCGCACATGCTCAGTGCGGGGCTAGGGCGGGGGGAGGCAGGGAAACAATGCGGCCGTAACCCCCCGCGGGGGGCCGGCACCTGGCACATGCTGCACACACGCCCCGCCCGGCGGTTCCCCGGGGCGGGGCGGGGGCGGGCCCCTCCCTCCCGCTTGGATGGGCAGACTGACCTCCACGGCGGTGCTGCGGCGCGGCTCGGGGCTCCTGGCTAGCTGGTTTTGTCTCTGCCCATCCCTGCACCTGCGGTGTGCGCTCCCGTTGCATCGCCGAAGCGACTCGGGCAAGCAAGAGTTCGTGAATGCGCTCACTGCCAGGGCACGGGAGGACTGTCCTTGTGGCCAGTGCAGCACTGAGCACATCTTCTGGCCTCGGCAGCTGGAGAGTAATGGTGAAATCCAAGGGCACTCAGGGCTTTTGCAGTTGTAACACATCTCAGGTTGCTGTGCATGTAGCCTTTGGCTTTCCTGGAAGTCCTGCACTGAATGGAGTAACACTGATCTCAGCATCGTGTTGCCAAAAGCCCAAGAGCACCAAGAGCACCTGAACAAGGGATGGGATTTTGTATTTCTCATGACTATATATGTTTTTCATAAGCATGCAGCTTTGCTGTTTATGCGGCCTGCTGGGATTAGAAGAGAAGGAAATGACTATGCAGAAAGCACAGGTGTGATGAAAATGATTGTTATTATTAATTTTTTCTTTTATTGTAGGGGAGGTTATATAGATAGAATCCCTGAATAGCATTTTACAGTTGGAAAGTACCTTTCCTGCTGAAATTCCATTGCACTTTACTGTGTGTGGTATCATTTCTGGCATAAAGACAATGACGCAGGAGTTAGGCAAGTTGTCCAGTGCCCCTCAGCAAATCAGGATTTCAGCACTCCTTGCCTGATTTATGAAGAGTCATGGGATACTGGTAATGCTGAACACATACTGGGTGTATGAAAGCTTGTTTCTTTGTCACCTACCTTTGCCTACAAACTTGTCTTGCCCTTCAATCATCAACACTTCAGAAGTACTGCCTCTATATTCAGTGATGTACTTACTAATTGGACTGACGCACATTGCTGCTATACTCATGGACAATTTTGTTTGGGGGGTGCTTCACATGTTGGAGGAGAGAAAGCCTCCACAACAGTTTTAAAATTGTAACACTGAAAATCTCTGTTATCATTTATCTGCTTTTTCTGAGAATCTGAATTAGCTAACAAATTAAAACGAGTTGGACAATGTTTTAGAAGGTCTTCAGGGCACTCTGATTTTTCTCTGTCAGCTCTGCTCCTCAGGGATATGCCATGATTTGAGCACCAGACATGCTGGAAGAGCTCTCGGCTGTGCAATGCTCCATCCTCACTGGTTTTGGCCTTTAGAGATGGAGCCCAAACAGAGCTATGCGTCAAGCAGAAAAGTTGGTGGCAGCACTCTGCACAGCTGATTTTGGGTGACAGTGCAGCTGCCTGCTGGGGTGGGCTGGACTGACTCATTTGTAGAAGTGAGGAACACAAGTGTGGGAGGAACATATGAGCCCATCTGGGATCTGGATGAGAGTTGGACTAAGGGAAACAGGCTGATTAGGGAGAAGGGCCAATTTTTGGTGGATCTGAGGACTATTTAGTGTCAATCCATCCCTTCGAGTGTTTTAGATAATTATAACCTCAGTGCATTGTTTAGGGATGGAGGAATTATCTTAGAAATGGTTGAGTATTTAAAGCTCTCCATTTGTTAGTATGGGAGAAAAACACCCACTAGCTAGAAACTTGGATGCACAGACTTTACTTACATAAAGCAAAGAATGTATAAGGTGATTTACTGTAACTAGGAAGTTTTCACCTGCCCATTTTGAAAAAGTCACAAAATCCAGTAAGGGCCCAGTCCTGCAGACTATTAAATATAAGAGCAGGTATGTGATGCAGTCCCACGGAGTTCATTTGTGCAGACGTTTTTGCAAGACTGGGGCCTAATTATGTACCAATTATTTTCATAATATTCTCAGATTAGCATTTTTGCTCTTGCGACTTTGGAGCATTTTCACTGCTGCATTTGCAAGTGAGATTACATTTTTCCCCTACTGATAATGATGGATTTCAGTGCACCTCAGCAATAAGTATGCATTCCTTTACTCACAAATATTGTTCTTCTTCTGCTGAAAGCACTGTTAAGGAAGAAAATATAAAAATTCAGGTCTCTTCTCAGTGCTTATAACATAATGCTTTGTAGAAAAACAGAGATGCACTTTGCTCTTGCAGTCATTTCTCTTGACTGCTTTAGTTCCTATTTCTCAATTAAGTCCTGCCATCAGGAGCTACAGCTGGTCAGTGGCAGCTGGCAAATCCACTCCCTTATTTATTGCTCTTTGGCCTCCATTAGACATCGCCAATGTCCCATGGCAGACTTGACACTATATATACCAACAGGCACACTTTACTCAGGCAAAAATCCCTAACGGCAATATGACTTGTAAATCAGCTGAGGGAAAACAGTCTTTGCTTTCATATAGCTTTTCAAACACCTTTGATTTCTTGGCTTGAAGTTCTCAGAGCTTTCTTGTCTTTATGGGCACCTCTGGTATATCAAAAGGGTTTTCTAAAGCTGCTTTGTGGTCTGGGGTGGGCTGCAGTGAAGGTAAAAGTCAGGGTTGTTGTTCTTTGTCAGATAGTACTGTCATTCTAACAAAAAAAATAACAGCAAATATTAAAATTTTGCCCAGGTTTTTCATTGATTTGCCATTATTATAAAAACCTCCAACTCAGATGATGAAACAAAATTAAATTAAGTGGATTAGGCACAGTTATTCCATTTTGTATGCATAAATACCCAGATCCATGTCTATAAAGGACAGAAGGGTCACTGTGCTCATGTAAATTGACTGCTTGTGTAACACAGGTTGTGGGACTCCTATGAATCTGTCCTATAAAATTTTTTTAAACACTAAGCCTTGTTTCAGAAAATTTCTGTGTTGGAGGAGCTACCATAATTCCTTAACATTTGATGTCATGGTTAATCTTACTTCCTGTGAAAATACCTCCTCTTCAATCTTCATCCCTCAGCTCTTAGGGTTCTCTGTAGTTTCAGACCCTTAGAATTTCCCCAGTTACTCCAGGTGTCCTGGGCAACCTCAGACCCTGTATCCCAGCCTGGGGGGGCGTCACTCCACATATTCACACTACTGTGCTACAGCCTCTCTGTCACCTCCAGATCTCACTTGCCCGGCATATGCATGACACAAAAATGTCTGGGCACAGATGAAAGACTGTGATAGAGCATTAAAGGAAAAGGCCTGTCTCTTGGCAAACCTGATAGTCAAACAGATTTTAGAAGGCACACACTTCATGATGTTTCCCCCCCTGCATGGTCCTATGCAGCTGAGTTGCTGTGGGGTGAAGACAGAGGGCCACAACTACACTAAAGAACCTACACAAGGCCTTAACACAGTGGGGTTGTTGCAGAGCACCATTCACCCAAAATTATCCCTGCAATAACAGGTTTCATCTGTGCTTGAAATACAGCCAATTCATGACTTTTTCAAGGACTCAAATTGCTCCTATGGTGTTGTCCTGGTTTCAACTGGGATAGAGTTAATTTTTCTTCTTAGTAGCTAGAACAATGCTGAGTTTTGGATTCAGTATGGGATTTGGTATGAGAAGACTGATAATACACCCATGTTTTCAGTTGTTGCTGAGAGATCAAGGACTCTCCAACTCCCCATGTCCTGTCCGTGCGCAGGTGCACAAGAAGATAGTAGGGAGCACAGCCAGATCACTGGGCCTAAACTGGCCAATTAAACATTCCATATCATGTAACATCCTGCTCAGTATATAAAGGAGAGGTGGCAGGGAGGGAGGGGGTCCTGTCTCACTTGAGGATTGAAATTGAGGGATCTTGGTATTTCAGGATTTCTAGCTGGGAATGGGCTGCGTATCATGCATTGTGCATTACCTGTTTGTACTTTCTATTATTCTTATTTTTTTATTCTATTTAGATTATTAGACTGTTCTAATCTCAACCTATGAGTCTCCCTTTACCCCTCCAATTCTCTCCCCCATGCACTGGCGGGGAAGGGTGAGCAAGCAGCTGTGTGGAGTTTAGCTGCCGTCTGGGTTCAAACCACAGCAGATGTGAGTAGAAATCAGTGTCATAACCTGGTACAGGTCTTGTCTGAGGCTGCTGTGGCCAGAAGCCCCAATACATACTGGTGTGCAACATTGTAAGAGTGAGCACTGTGGGCAAACGGACAGAGCTTCACACAGTACAGTGCCTACCAGTGACTGAGGATCTCTGCAGCTCTGTGGCTACAGCCATACCACCTGATATGGTGGCAGTGTGCTCTCCTGGGAGCTGTACTGGTAAATCTGTACCTTGTATTTCACCTTTTCCCAAACTGTTATGACCAGTCCATATAGACAGCTTCACATAGTGGGGAAAAATGGTTCTAATGTGTTAGTGTCTCTCGCCTGTCTCATAACACAGTATGTGCTTATCTGAGTAAATGGGATCTTACTGTATCATGTATTCAAATTATCACAGAAAATCAGGACTGTGTCATTCTAAGTATATTTCTTACACATTTGTATCATCACTCTCCCTAAAAGATCAGTATTAGGCCAGCATAAATCTCATTTGCTTTTTGAAGAGTCATAATTAAATATGATCTAATTAAAAAGAGGGGAATGGGAGAGCTAAGAATTACAGGAAGATCCTTGATACAGAAAATACTTTCTTGCTGTAAGCTCCCACCTTCAATTTTGTGCTAGCTTGAAAGAATTCTCAAAATCCTGGGGTCTGCCATTCTGCACTTGAAAGAGGATCTGCTATACTACAACTTGTGCAGAATGAGGGCCTGGATTAATAAGCCAATGCATGTTCTTATTATATTGTTCCCTTTTTTATGAATCCTAGCTCATGTTTAGCTAGTGCCCTTTGTATACTTATTTATTTAGAATTACAGCCTCTCCATATATTAACCATTCATTTGAAAATATTTTTTAGGCTAAAGTAACTTCATAAATAATTCACAATAGTTGCAGTAAAGTAACTAGGATGTTGGTCCTTTTCCAAAGTTACCCTACATCTCCGTCAGGATAGAAAAGTGCATCTATAGCTTAAAAGCAGTGTGTATTTCAGGCAAGCAAGGCACTCTAATAAGCTTGTTAAAAGGCAAATGAGGTGCCTTGAATTTAATGTCAGGATCTCAGGTATGACAGTGATCCAAATATCTGTGTGTTCATAAGTATTTCTACCTGAACACCTATTAAATGTCATCTAATTCTGATTTTTAAATTTTTTAATAATGTTTCCATGTGAAATATTTTATAAATGTAATGCTGGTTTCGTTGTGTCATTAACTGTTTCATCAAATATGCACTTAGAAAAAAAATTGACTATATATTCAACTTACTCCAAAGCTGAATTTCTAGTAGAGCTATGGAAGCAAGATGAGCATTTAATGGCAAATTTTAGTGAACAGTGTGCCACTAATAATGTGTCAGATATGGCATGCTCCACAGTGTCTGGTTTGAATGATACTAAAGTACTTCATGTCCTAGAAACTGTTTTTCTAGGGAAATTTTCTATTTTTTAAAATCTCTGCATATTGCTGCTTATGATTTGACTTATGTGCGGTAAATGGTAACTGGCAGCACTGGAGCTACAGCATCTACCTGCCTATCTCTTATCCAGATTTGGAGATCTATCCTGTGATGTTGGGTCTGATATAGCAAGTATTTAGAGAACTCTAAGGACGAGTACTTAACTGCTTTTATATCTCAAATCAAGACAGAGCCTTGCAGGACTGAGCTCCCAAAACACAGTCTAGGCTAGATATAGCTTGTTAAATATTTGGCCATTTAAAATATGGTTTGGGTGAAAGGGAACTGATAAATCAGTGGCCTATGCTCAGCTATGCTGTTTTTAAGTCCCTGACAATTGTGTCTGTACCTGTACTGAGCCTATTTGCAAATGTTCCTGGGAGGCGAGTAATAGAGACCACTAAAGCTGGCACAGTACTTTCCACTTACTTACATTTAAATCAGCTACTTTTAGTATAGAAGGTCAGAAAACACAGCCCAAATTCAGGAGATGCAGTAGCAGAAGACAGAGAGCATATATGTCTGGTAGAAAGAATGGAAAAAATCTGCATGGACCAATGGCTGTAGTTGTGACTGTAACACAGATTTCAGAAACATACTCTTCTAAACTCTTTTTCTTCCCATTTTATTTTTGTCTTAGTAAACCGTTTCTACATTCACTCTCCTTTTAAGGTACCAGTTTTACAGAAAAAGCTGTTACAGCATCTGTCAGATATGTTACTAATGCCACAGGTAGTGAAGTAAGTAGGAGTTCTTATTTTTGGCATTTGGAACCAACTCCAGTGCTATGACTGGACTGACTGTTGTGTAGGTGAGTCATTATTGTGCAGGTGGCTTTTGTATCAGTGATGGGTGGCCACAGAATCATAGAAAAACAGATGTTTGAGTTCAGTAAATTTAGATGTTGAGATAAATTGGTCTGAGCTGTTTTAGGAGACTTGCAAACACAGTGGATGATAAGTAACATTCTGGTGTGTATGCAGGCATGTCCATTTTAAAGCAATAAATTTACTGTATAATATCTGCAAACACAGCAGTATGCATCCCCAAGCACAGCTCTCTGAGGGCCTGAGGTTTTCCTCATTTCACCTAGTCCAAAATGTAAAGCTGACTCTTTGTAAATCTCTATTTTACCTACACAAGTTTGGATCTTCTACAGAGAGCTCAAAACTGCTTACAAGCTGTGAGGCACACAAAAAGGCTGTGTCAGCATCTTGCTGAACCCTGTTCCTATGCAGCATACGTGCTCTACTACCCTTGCATCCTAACAGGCATGCCCATCACTTTGGTGGAGCATTTCACTACCCCCTTCACTGGAACTGGAAGCTATAATGTCACAGCCCTGAATTCTGAAAAGGTTTATCACTTGAATTCCTCTCCAAATTTGGTCTTCGGTGATAGAGAACCTGTAATCCATTGTTTTTTCAACTTCTGCCCCAAACAGTAAGCAGAACACTGTATAGGTAATCGTGGTATCATATCAGGTGTAATTACTACGAACACACAATAATTCATTACTGTATGATGACTGTTCTGAGCTAGACGTTGAATTAATGCAAAATCCTTCAGTGTCACCACTGTATCATGGCAAATCAGCTGCAGCTAACCGTCTTGTTACATTTTGGATGTGAAAGTATGTGATGCATGAAATGGAAGTAGCTGAACACCCTTAGTAAATAAGTAAAGGTGGTTTTTACTTCACAGAGAGATAGAAGCAATGGTAAGATAAGGATACCACAGGGAACCAGGCTTTGAGAGGTAGCTTTCTCCAGGCCAGCATAAAACAATAGAAAGAAAAAGAATAGAGGATGAAAAAGAACAACTCATCAAAAAGCTTGTATTTTCTTCTCTAAATATTTGTGCAGTGAGAGGAAGGGTGGTTTCCTGACAAATCAAAGAAGTAGTAGTGTAAGGGTTTATTCTTATGTACGCATACACTAAGTGCAGCATGTTATATACTGATTCCAGGCAAGAATGTTGTAACTTAATTTACCCTGCTGCCAAATTATACACTTACAAAAGGACACACAATTCAGAATGAAGCTGACACTTCCTCTACAGATAAAGGATCTCAATTGGTGTAGAGCTTTGTGTGCATGGTTTGTGAGTCCATATGGGCCAGACACTCTATTTATCACAGCCATCTGAATGCTTATGTGTTTTAATTCTGTTGTAACTGGATAAAGTACAGTAACAGAACTGGGAACAGCATATTCCCACTCTCCCTATATCTCTGGTGACTGACCTACCTACTAGGCTTGATTATTCATGCTTCCTCTTGGTCTCTCTTTGATTTAATCAGTCTTGACAGTGTAAAATGGAGAAGAGTGACTGTATAAAGATCCCATATTTAAGGTCTTCTCCTGTCAGAGGGGAGCTTTTGCGTAGGTGTCCCAAGTTACATCACTTACAAAAACCATCCATATGCGCACGGACTCTGACCTGCTGTCCTTTTCCCTCTGGTTTTAAAGCCCCACTTCACAACTGGCTTTCCCTGAACATAGCAAAAAGGCCCATTCTTCAGTTTCTGAAGTTCTCTCATGTACCCACTGCTACAGCAGAGCTGACCTTGACAACGTCTTTTCTGAACATACTCCACATCTCATTAGTCTTTTCTGGTGCCGAGACTTCTCTCAGCACAAGTACCTGTAATTGTTACTAGTGTTGCATGGAGGGGAATGATGCATTTTACTACACTCTTTACAATGAAGTCTGGTTTTCTATCTGGATACACAGTGCCTTTTGGGCACTGCCACATTAAATTGATAAAATGCAAAAAAAGAGAAGGCAGTGTTTGTTAGGGTGAATGATGTTGAAGAGTATATGCAACACTCATACACATACATGATCTGCATTCTTCATTTTCATTTAACATGGATTACAGTAACTTCGATCATTGTGGTCTGGCAATTGAATGTGAATTCTGCAGCTTTGAAATTAAGGGAGTACATACAGTCTTTGGCTGCTTAAGCACATGCTTAAGCATGCCAATACCTACAGTCTTTGGCTGCTTAAGCAAAACAAAAACTTTGACAGTTTACCACTACGTGCATACAGAAGACTTTGTCTGCTGTACCAACTCTTGTCAGAAAGGGAGTAAAAGTATCTTATTAGAATGTTAAGGCTAGATTGATTTAGAGAGGTGATAAAATTTCATTAAAATACATAATTTCTTAGAGATGCAGAAGATCCTCTGTTATGTGAAGCCTTTGGATACCTTTCCAGAAGATGCCATGACACTTGACATCACTGGTTTGATTCAGGAAAAACTCTGCTTTGCATTATTCAGGGATTCAGACTGAATGATCTTTTTTGTCCCTGTTGGCCATGAAGCCTGTAAAACAAAATTTTTCAACTTGAAACCTTTCCATAAACCTTCCTCCTCATTCTAAATATATAAGAAGTTGCAGCAGGGAATGGAGGTGGTGTCTCTCTTCCAGTTGTGAAATACATTACTCCCTTCAGCCTCAAATCTTCTCAACAGTTTCCTTCCTACGAGAATCTTACACAAACTACACTGAGTGTAAGTCCTTCAATAAAGACCCCATTGCTAACCCATATACTCTTTAAAAGTTTTTTATATCTTTTTCCTACCTGAATTCCTCAGTTCCTTCTGCAAATGTATTAATTATCTAAACAGATAATGACATCAAAGCTTTACCTAGTTTTAAAAAAGGAGAAATTAAGTCCACTGGCTTCAGCGTAAGGGTTTGAAGATGGGAGTCCTGCTCTGAATTTGTTCAGAAGTGGCAGATGACTTGAAACACGTAACTAACCTTGAAAGGGAGTGAATGATTCCTGACTACCCTTTACTCTGCTGCGGTGTTAAGGTCTATGACATCAAATTGAGCTTTTTGCTGCATGTGGTCCATGAAGATCCCCTAAGAGCTTTGAGTAAGACAACAGACAGAGCCAAAGAACTGCATTTAATGTTTATTAAGCCTTTGCAAAAACACAGACATTTTTCAGTCAACTTGAAATTAATTATTTTAGTCAAACTCAAGTATTTCTTACACATTTCATTGGATTGGCACTAGCAGTAGAGGCAGCAGCATGAGCAGAAAGCATTGGCACTTTGAGCAGAGAATCCGAAGGCTGAAGCTGCACAGATTTCAAAGGTTGTGCTATACAGATAACATAGCAGATATGGTAACCAACTACAGGCAATTTCACCTTCACTGCAGTATGAAACTGGTTATTTTATGGCGTGTTATTGGATGGTTCTTTCTGGTATGAAAACCAGAGAGGACTTCTGGTGAATTTTCCAAGCCTTGAAGGATATATTTCACATACCATTAAGCACAGGAGGTTCATTTGCATAAAAGATTTGCAATAGAAAAATACATTCTGAAATTCTCATTTTATCAAATTCAGACTCTACAACTCCACAGCTATCCAGAATAACATGAAGCTGGAACCGCACCTGATATAAATGTCTTCTCATCCCATTTGCTCTCAGAGAGGACCCATGACATGGTAACATCACCAGAATGCATGCCAAGTAGCTATTGGCAGTGTGTTCCCTCCTTCCTGAGCACCTACATGATGTATAATACTGTTCATCTTTCTGGTTATTGAAATCTGCATGTTCAGCTGGCAATAAGATCAGTGCAATTCCTTGAAATAGTCATAAAGCATTTACAACTGTTTTTGAAAGGGTGGTGGAGAGACATTAGGACAAGTCTCATCCATCTTTTTCTTTCTTTCTTTTTAAGAAATTACTGAATTACTAGAAGAAGCAAACAAAAGTTTATATATGTGTCAAATAGGATTGTACTAGATGACCTGGGCTGGACATCCAGAGGCTCTTTCCAACCTCAACACTTTGTTATTCTGTGCAATTAATCTTCTAAGCCAAAAAATTACCAAGAAACAATGAAGTCTTTAACAATGGAGGGGTTAGGTCCTCAGACTAAATTGACAAATGCAGAAAATCTTTATAAGGTGCATTAATTTATGCACACTGAGACTTTGTCCCAACACAGCTTCACTGTTTTGTATTATGTAGGTCTGAAATGTTCCTAAAACCAATCAGTGCTAGTAAATTAGAAAAAAAAAAAAAAAAAAAACACAGATTTTTTTTTCTGTGAAAAGGGTCTTGGGTTACTTAACTGTCAAGTACCTTAACATGAGAAACAGAGCAAGTGAAAGGATTATGCAGAATCTACTGAAATATAAGAGCTACAGGATTCTGCTACATGAAGGAACTGTACTTCAAGTAATAGAAATATGGAAGGAAACCCTGAAGCTCACAGTCAGAGAAACTTGAAGTCAAAGCAGGATTTAGCTCAAATTCCCAAGCAAAAAATTAGCAGCCCAAAAGCATACATCAATAAAGCACAGCTTGTATAAGCTTTTAAGCTGTTTAAAATAAGAGAGGGATCTTCCATTCATTAAATACTTCTGCTTAACAAAAGGATCAGCATTATACAGATCATGAGAATAGTTTTAAATTCTTGATTCACCTGGGGATTAAGTTTTACCAACTATACCCATGCATAAATTTTTTTTGCACTGAGTTGCATCAGAACATTGCACACTGCTTACAGCAAACCAACATCATTTCACTATTTCACTCTCCTTGTAACGTCGTTATTTTCCAGTTCCCTTCTCCAAGAGAATTCTATTAATCATTAGACACTTAAGGCACAAGCAGAAATAAAAATAAATAGCATCTGTAAGAAAAAGTCAATTACTTAATTAGCACACTTTATCCAAGACTTTTAGGTCTCAATAAATAGAACAGACTTTAAAACACTACTCTGATCCTAAAAATATCAACAGAAAAAACACTACTGAAATTTCTTCTTTATCCTGAGGACTTAGTATGCACAATAACAATTTTAACAGCTGTGGCTGTCTGAAACATCTATTCACTCATCTCTCATTTTTTAAATAGATAATAGCTCCTCTGTGGAGTTCTACTCCTACTGGGATGTCCAGCATCAGGACTGCCCAGTTCACACTGTGGGATTCATGCAGCAACACCCACTAAATTGCTCCTATAGAGACATGTAAGATAGACACCAAGCAGGAGAATTCAACTCACCAAATACGAGCATCTACAACGAAGCTATCTACACAGGAGCCAGTCACCTGAGACTCTCTGCTATTGGTGGAAATAAATAGACACTTACAGTGCACAACTCACCATACACTAAAACAGATGTCTAAAACTGCCAATTTTTCTCCACTGACTGTAAACAGAGCTTAAACTCTTTAGCCAAGTTGCAGATGTCCATGCTACAGATGTCAATTAAAATGAATTCCACCTTAAGAGCGTAGGCAGGTGTCCTCTTCCACGTCTACCTGTGCAGCTGAAGATGGGATTGCAATGACTTGTCTATCCTGAGAGGGAAGTAACCTCCTTCACCTGTCTGCCAGCAAAACAGATGGTAGCAGACCCCCTGCCATCTACTCTCCTCCCACGTACTGTAGTCGTGTAGTCAAAGCCATATGGGTACCTTGCATCACTACTGACCACTGGGTTACGCTAAACAAGCTGATTTTACCTGGAATAGATTGGGCAGTGCTTGCATGAGCCTTTTCCCTGTCCAAACGAAGCAGCATTGGTCTCCCAAAGTGACAAATAATCGTAACCAAAATGTTAAGTACTACAGCTGCTGGCCAAAGAAATGTGTATTTATAGCCTAAGCAGGCTTTGGTTTACAATTTAGACATGTCTGAAGATATTCAGACATTCCTCAAAGTCGTTTATTATTGTTGTAACAAAGAAGGTTGAGTCTACTCTTTACAATCATCATCAAGATGGGTTAAATCAGATACTGTTTCAACCCTGTAATTTAGTAACTTCACAGCATAAAATCCCATTCTGATAAACGAAGGGCTCCTTTACTGGTCTGATTTCAACATACTGCAATCATAGGATTTGCACAGTTCCTGTTCTAAGATACATATGCACATTAAAAAAATACAGATGAGCACATTTGCATCCAGACCAGATCCCCAGTTGACAAAGCAGACCTATAACTAATTTTCATCTTTTCCTAGTCTCCTATGTGTAGTTACCCAGTGTCTTTTATGAAAAGGAATGTTTAAAAGCCATTTGAAGAAGAAATAGAAGTTCCTTATATATAGCTGGATTGTTTTGAGATGGATTCTGGCATTCATATTACCTTCCTTCTCACGCTCTTTTTCTTCAAAATCTTAATTATATCTTGAACACAATGAAACTGTAGAAAAGAGTCAAGATGTCAAGACTCCCATGTACTCTTCAATACTTTGACCCTTGAGGGGCAAAGGAAGAAGTCATTGACAGGTATAACAGAAGCGCCCTGCAGTAGTTAGGTTCTACCGTGCAGGAGCTGCTTATGATTTCCTCCAAGTGTCAACATGCAGCACCCGCCCCAAAGAACTCTGACCAAAGTTAGTTATCTTTATTCTTCCAATTAAGATAAACGATGTACAAATATATTCCAGGTTTGTACATTCTGTGAAATAACTAATTTGCTATATAGATTTTCATGTAGAATAAAGCAAGTTGCCCCTATAGAAAAGTGGTCCCTACAAAACACAGCACTTCTGTTTTCTCTGAATAAAACAGATTAAGTGCCACTTTTTAGATAAGAAATCCATTAAATTTTGTTTTGCAAAAGCAATCTTGCACTGATAACAACTGTCAGGTCCGACAATTGGCGATTTAATGTTCTATTCCCCTTTTTTCTAGCAATTACAAGTTGCTTGAAAATTAAATTACGGTTAATATTTCTCCCCAGTGAGGCAGTCTGACATGATGTGCAAATGCTTACACTGCCCTATAAGTCAGTTGTTCCCAGAAGAGATGGGCTAGCAGCATGAAAATAATTAAATGCCAATATACAATTGGCCTCTTTTATGAAGAATAAACAGGCACAAAGACAAACTGTTCCACTGCTTATACTAACCAACAAATGTTGAGATGACTGTTTATTTTAAACACAGCAATGAAGCTGCAGTGTGGTTTACTGACTTTCATAAATTCAGTTTTAACAATTTAGAATGTGTTCAGAATTAAAGTTCTTATTTCTCTGATGATTCTTCATCTGCATTGACCTTCTCTCTTTGGAGCCACATAAATGCTGACTTTGCTGTGCCATCTCCACTCTGTTGGGAAAAGCAAATGAAGGTAGCCCAGACAAAGCCACAGAGCCCAGTGTAAGCTGTTCGCAGGTAAACAGGGACCAAAATGAAGTTTGACAGCTGCGTTGGAAGGAGAGAGAGCTCAGTTAGTGCTCCAGGCATTGCTAGGTCTTACATCTACAAATCCAACACTTCCACTGACTTCTCACTGGGTTAGATACACTAGGAATGCATCAGATCAGGTTTTATGAGAAATAAAGGCTCTCTGAATTACTCTAAAAACTCACCTGCACAAAAGGCCAGTACATCAGTCCCGTCTGAAATGAAAATGAACCTTCTGTTATTCTTACAGACTTCAACCACAAAGACTGATTTTTTCTTACCACATTTAGCAAAGACTGAAACATATTTGAGTAAAGTTAATAAAAGCCTTTCAGTTGTAAATTAAGTTGCTTAACTTAGAGGTTGCAATATTAAACATCTAATAATCATGAGCCTCTATGCTAGGAGTTTCTCAAACGTATTATTCTAACTCATTTTCAATACAAAACTCTAAGCACAGTTAAGTCTTCATAGTCACCTGACACCAGATACATAAGCGCATTTACCAGATGGGTGAACAAATGTTTAAATATGTTAACATTTGTATTAGCCATGAATGAAAAATACCACTGAACTCTATTTATTTCATACTTGCAATGCTCCTTCTAGCTACTCATACACGTAAGGCTTTTTGAAAAAATCAATGGGTAATTTACTCATAGAACATAAGGTCAAAAGAAACCTTATGATTCAATAGGATATAGTGAGCACTGTTTTTAGAATCGTCCTCCGTAGGAATAAAAAAAAATCCTACCTATATAGTTCCACAGTATGAAGAGAAGTTCACATTGCATCACAGTTTCTCCTTCTATTATATTTTTTCTGCTAATCTATCTTTCTTCTTGCACCTGGTAAATCTTTAAAAATTTTTAATTTGCTAAGCTCTGAGGTAGCATGGATAATTTTTTCCTCTGTAGCAGAAATGCAAACCAAAACCAGCTATTTATACCAAAATCTCCTTAAAAAAGGGATTGTGTTTCTGAAAGTGAGAAGACTGTCACTGAAAAGTATAGGATGAAAATGATTCCTAAAAAAGATGTCTTTATAACTAATGATTTTGACAGGTGTTCATGTAAGCGTTGTCAACAGCATTGCTAACTAAACACTGGTGTGTGGGTACTTCTTAAGATAAAAGGTAGCAAAATCTTAATCAGTGTTGTATTGTAGGGCTCTCATTCAAACAGGGCCAGGTGCAAGTGTTATGGATATAAACACTGTACATTTTTAAAATGGCATCATTTCACCCAGCTGGCAGTGCTGCCTGCTTCAGACTACCCTGACTTCACATGACTGCTGGTACTTAAAGCTTCCTACACATAATCAAATAATGGAGTGAGAGAAAGGCTGTTGGAGGACAGAATATTTCAAATATTTTATTCAATAATATTATCTTTTTGCTTAGCTGGGAAATAAGTGAATTGTTTGCCTCACCTTATATGTATTCCAAAATTTCTTCTTACAGTCTGAGAAGATGTCCTCTTTCCGCTGAAGGATGCTCATACCTAGTGGTAAAGTATTTATAACAATCAGAAAAAATGCAAAACCAAAATGTGCACTTTTTTCACTGTTATCCCAAACTCTTCTCAAAATATACTACAATAGCTTTGAAAGAAAAGCAGGTATCATTACAAAGAAAAAATACCATTCCAGCTACCTCATAGTGCTATGTCGTATCTCCTCATCTATTGATTTGACTCTCAGCATTGACAGCATAGATCAGCTGGAATATACTGTATAGGTAGCATATTGTATCTGTTCCACTGCCACATAATTCACCAGTGGTATGGCAGTGGAACAGATATGATGAAAGTACCCTTTACACGCACAAGATCCAGAGAATAAAGCATTCTGCACATTGTTGAAGTGCCAGAAGTGGCTCAGATCCTTGAAGGCGTATAGGAGCCTACAGACCACTGAAGCGAGTGGAAAAGGGTACCTAATTTTTTTGTTGTTGTTTAAATTTAGGCCATAATCAACAGGCTCCCATCATTACACCCAAGATCAAGAGAAAAGCGGTATGACTTGACATTACATATTAGTCACATGCAAACTGGAAATAAATTGACTGAATGAATTCTCATCACATGTAATATCATTTAAAGGGTTCAAAATAATAAACCCTCTAAACAGTACTTTGCATGATGAGAACCTTCAGCTGTCAAATTAAGACTACATCTTTCTAAGAGATGTAGCAGCTCTTCAGTGATCACCCACCTTCACTGGAAGACATGACCTATATTAAGCAAAGGTATTAGACAACATGCCTTTAGCACATCAATCTAAAATCAAAAGCTATGCATCTGCACATAATCAGAGGCCCAAAATTGCTTAGTCCAGCTCAGGTATCCTTTTAGGTATTTGCATGCCACGAGGTTATCAGTATCTCTCAACAGACACATTTTTTTGCTATTACATCATACTGCTACCCAATTTAGGGATTTTTACCATCCCTTTGGTGGTCCTTCAAATCCTTCTGGTCCTTGAGCAATTCTCTGCTTACATTCTGACACAGGCAGGTAGTATTTTAAGAATAAGTATCTGGTATTTGTCTTCTTCCTTTGCTTAATTTCTCTTCAGTCACAAACTGAATGATTTCCCCGTCAGGGTCATAAAATGCAGATCTCCCAATACCAGCAAAAAGAGTACCCGTCTTGCTCTTCTTCCACATGAAGTTTAAATTAAATGAGAGGCTTGTTTTGCACTAGTTTCACCTACTATTTTTCTTAGTCCCTCAAGCTCGGGGAGAGCTACCGCCGGCTGCGAGTCCCCAGCCGCTCCCCCGGCTCCCAGCGCGGCCCCGCCCGCGGCTGAGGCGCCCGCCGAGGCCTTGAGCCGGCAGCGCCCGGGCCGGGACCCGCCGCGTGCAGCGAGCCGCTGCCCGGCGGCCGCTTTCGGTGCCTCCCCACCTGCGGTTCTCCGACCGACGCCCCCGCCTCTGCGGTGCCCGGGCGGCGGCGGCACTCACCCGTGTAGAAGGCGAGGACGGCGACGGGCGCGCCGAGGAGCTGGTCGCAGAGCACCTTGCCGAGCACGGCGGGCGGGCGGCGGCCGGGCAGCGCCCGCTCCAGCGCCCGCAGCCAGACGTAGCTGAAGTTGCCGTGGAAGGCGAGGGCCACCAGCGCTACGCGCCGCGTCTGCGCCCAGTCGGGCGGCTGCCCCCGCCGCCGCCGCCGCCACAGCTGCTGGGCCGCGTCGCCCGCCGCGAAGAGCCCGCCGTACAGCAGCACGTTGCAGAGCCAGGGGAAGCGGCGCACCCCGCCGCGCAGCAGCAGCCCGGCCATCGCCCGCCGCCTCTTCCGCCCGCCGCCGCCGCCTCCTCCTCACGGGCCCGCCCGCCGCCGCCCCGGCCCCGCCGCCGCCCTCGCCATCCCCGCGGTCCCAGCTCCCGCTAAGGGCCACCCCTCCCGGGGTGCCACCTCCGCCGGGCCTGCCCCTGCCAGGGAGGGCCGGCACCCCACGGCGTGCCCCCTGCTCAGCCTCCCTGCGGCCGCGCCGGTCTGCGGTGGGCCCGCGGGTGATCGCTGGGCACCCGGGCTTCTGTTCACGGGCTTATTTTTCAGGTGACTGTGCATTCACTCATAAGTAGGTCACTGTGGCTCCTGGGCTTTGGTCTAATGTGCACTGTGGAGGGCCTCTGCAGTATCGCTGCAACAATTAAGTGAAAACTAGGCACTCTTTGCTTATTAACTTTTAAATTTCTTTATCTCCCTCTTGCTTGCTTACATGAGTAGGTTATGGCTTTTCAATTTTGCTGTTGTTTTACACTGATTTCTGTTACCGCACTGAGCAGGGCTGATGCACACCTGCTGAGCAGCAGCTGCCTGTGCAGTTCCTCCCCTTTGCCCTCTCCTATTGAGTCAACTTGAGAAAGCCAGAAGTGATGTGTTTATTCAAGATACTTGTGTACACAGCTTTGTACACACAGAACCCTTGCCACAAAGCAGATCTGAAGTCATGCGATGAGCTGACAGCGAGGGAGGCTTCTGTGCTCCGAGGAAGCCCTTAGCCACAGAAGACATCGAGCGCATCCTGAAGCATCGGGAATGTCCCCTCGGTCCTGGCAACGGGCTCAAGCTTGACGTAGGGAACCATCTCCAGGCACAAGGTGGTAGTTCACTGTGTCCTAACAGGGACTGGGATCTATGAGTTTGACACTGTCATGAAGTCTTCCAGGAATGACTCCAAATAGGCATAGATGGCTTGTAGGTTGAAATACATTTTATTAACAAAGTGGAGCAAGTAACCCAATGCTTGGGAGACTCACTGTCAGGGCTCATGGGCTGTCCTTACCATGTCTTCTGAATACATAGACTTGGCTGCGAGAAAAACAGAACTGCAGTGCTCTCTGAAAGTTGTGCTATTAAATAATATAAATGGCGCTAAAAGGAAGCGCAATACTTACCGGAAAATAACTCCAGTTTGAAAGAACAAAAATAAACCTCTGGAAAATAGGGGTTTCTGGGCGAGGACTGCCCGGCCGGGCGGAGCCCGCAGGCAGGGGCGTGCGGCGCTCCCGCCGCCCCGCTTGCTCCGGGGCCCGTCCCCGTGCTCGCCGCCGCGGGAGCCGGGCAGGGCGGCCTATTGCTCCGGGCGGGTGTCGCTCGGCTCCCCCCGAGTCCGGATGAAGCCCGTTCTTCGGGGCTGTGCAGTCGTCCCCCTGCGGGACCCGTACGCGGAGGAAGGGTTTTGGTGTGGCCGTTAACCAGCCCCCGCAGGCCGAGCTGCCCACACCGGGGTGACAGCCGGGGGGCGTGTGAAGGCTGCGGCCGTGCAGAACCCTCGCGGGGTACCGGGCTGCCACGACCCGCCGCGGCGGGGATTCGAACCCTGGACAAGGAGGCGGCTCTGTCCTCCCTCCTCCACTCCCCGGCCGGGCCGCATTCACTGCGCATGCGCCAGTACCTGTTACCTCCCCGGTCGTTCTCCGGGACTGTTCCACTAGCTGGAGGTGGGGGGGGGTGGGTGGTTTAGCAGCGGTAGCGGGCGTCGTGCGGAAGAGAGGGAGGGTGCTGCGCTCCTCCCAGCCCGTGGTGTCACGGCGCGCGGCTCCACCGCGCCTTCCGCGGTGTCGCCGCCCCGGACTCTCCCCGCCCATCTGCCGCGGTGGTCTGGGCCGGCTGCGCCGCGGGGCGGGCCCGCCGCCGTTCCCTAGGTGAGCGCGTTGCCCGCCCCGCCCGCTGCGGCCTCGTCAGCGCTGCCAGCGTGGAGCCGGCCGGGGCTGAGGCGGAAGCGCCCGGCGGGGAGGCGGAGCGCACCGGGGACCCCGCCGGCTATGGACGCTTCTCTGGAGAAGGTCTGCGGGGCGGGGGACCGGGGCACCTGCGGGCGGAGGGGTGTTGAGGCGCGGCGGGCCCTGGCGGCCGCGTCGCCGACGGGGCCCCGGAGCCCAGGCCGGGGTCAGTGGCGAGTCGGGGCTCGGGGCGGCGCTTCCCCAGCGCCTCGGCCGCGGCGGTGTCGCGGTTCCGCCGGGGCTTCCGGCCCGTTTTCGCCGGGGGGGGCTGTGCCGCACGGGCCTCAGTCAACTTTGTCTCACGAAGCCTTGGAAGTGGAGCCCCCGGGCCTACCCCGCTCCCCGCCGCCACGGCGCTTGGCGGTCGTCGCCTGTGTGAACGCCGTCTGTTTCTGTCCCCCGGTTCTGTAAAAAGGCTGAAGAACTATCAGGAAATGCTCTAGGAAACAAGTTTCTTTGCTTGTTTTCTTAAAAAGAAGATGGGGCGTATTTCCTGGAAATGTTAGCCTTCAGCAGAATAGTAGAGAAAATATTATTTGACTTCCTAATTTTTCATTTTATACTGGAGATATTTACTGCCCTGTGTTTGCTCTCTTCTGTCTAATGTACTGTGCAAAGCAATTATTGATTCTATAATACCCGAAGTGACTGACAAAACTTACTTTGCCTTTGTCACTGTGAGTCAGTCAGAATCTGGTAATCTGGGACCTGTCACACTTCTGCTGCCTTTCATGGCACCTGCCATGCTCCAGAAGACCTGTCCTAGAAGTGACGGTGTCATGGCTGCTCATGCATAGATTATCACTATTGTATGTCTTTGAGGACAGTATGCATTTAAAATAATTTATACTTTATGTGCTTAAGAGATGTAAATGCATCCTTCCCTTTGCATCACTTACTATATGCAGCATGTTCAGTTTTATGTAATCTCTGGAATTGCCTAGATGAGTTTGAATGGGAAGTGCTCTAGTGAGATGAATAGTAAGGAAATTCAGGAAATATCTTTCTGATGTGATTAGTGAGTTGGTAGCAAAATCGTTTGATATATTACAATCCCCATGAAGAATACAGTATTAAAGAGTATTTGGTAGCCTTTAAAAGCTTAAATTTTTTACCAGTGCTGACAGAAGTTACAGTGATTGCTGCTTCTCCTGAAAAGTTATAGTTACTTAAGTAAAACTTAATTGAATATAGTAGTTTGGAATATAGTCTTTATCGACTGGACTCATGTAGAATAATGGTACAATATGCAGTTATTGAAAGAGGGCACATTAGTACAGGCCAAGTGTTTGTCCTGTAGTATTGACAAAGTACTTAGAAACTTTGTTTGACTGGGTCATCATAAGAGGCAATAAAAACACTGTGTAAGAATTAAATACCTGAATTTCTTACCAGAATTTGTATTCCTGATGTAAGGAATAGTCTGTAATGGTGAGGGCCCTGCAAAAACTTGCATGTCTGATTTTTCAATATATTCAGATATATGTGTATAGAGAGTTAACGTTTATGTTACTTCCTCTCTTGTTTATCATGGCTTTTTTCCCCATGTATGTTAAAAGCTGTAGGCCTCTCTATAATAGCATGCCACAATACAATTATTGTCTTCTAGCCACTTAGCAGTTAGTGCTCTCCTGAAATAGTCCTTGCTTAATATTGTTGTAAATCTGTACAATCTGCACTTTATCTAATCTTGAGGATGATATATAAGAAGTTTTCTCCCTAAATAAATTTGAAATTGATCCAAGTTGGGATATGCTTATCCTCAGAGAGTATGTGTCTACTGATCTTGTGCTTATTTAAAAGCATTATCATAATGCATCTGAGACTGTCTTTTATTTGAACCATGGATTCTCTCTTCCTTATATATTTATACATGTAGTTTCTTGGGATGTAAGTGATAAGTACTTTTTAACTTGTATTAAAATTCATCAAAATTATCTATTTTTTATAATGAAGGAGGCATTTTGGTACAATCACTTAATTAGCTGTAATGCATGGTGACATTGAATCACTACAGTCGTTAGGTTCTTGCAAATGGAAAAAGATATATTTTTTTTTTAGCAGATGAGAAACTTCCCAAAAGTTGAAAACATTGCACCGTAGCATCATGAGGAAAACCTGTTGTAGAATCTGACACACAGGTGTGCACACCAACAATCTCATAGTTCAATTATCTTTGTTTTATCAGACAAGTGGTTTTTGTTCTTGTTGGGTGGATGGTTTTGTTTTTGTTTTTGTTTTTTTTTTTTAATTATTAATATTATGTGTCATAAGTGGCATAATAAGAATTAATTTTATTTGAAATCCAGAAATCTTTTTTGGGGTGAACTTCAATTTTAAGTTCTTCTGGAAGCCTGTATTAAACTTCAGAAGTTTGGCTAACATATATATGATTCTGTTTTTGATTTTCTGCCTCATTTATCTTTTGATATAAGTGACCAATCTTCTGAAGGTTTTTAACATTTTAAGTTTCAAGTTAGGTGACTTTGTCAATGGTAACATAGGGCAAATTCTTTCCTTGTAGTTTCTTGCTGGCTCTACAGCAGTGTTTTCCCTAAACATGGAAAAACTGTTTTGGTTTCTTGCTCAGCCTGTAACTTCTGTCTTTTGTTACTGTGTTAATTACCACAACATCCTGGTAACTTTACTGGGAAACTAGTGACAGCAGACCTGCATGCAAATCCTGCTGCATGTCAGGGAAATTATAAAGATTAAAAGATAAATACCTATCAGAAGCCCTGTGGTGATACAGTGCTGTTTTCATTCAAGCCTGACAGTCATGAAGTGGCTGCTTTTTTATTTGTTATCTAAAACTTTTCTTAGCCTGGAGAATAACACAGTACTCTTGGCTGAAGAATCCTTATATTGCTGGAGATTCATATACTGTTGAGAACAGTTTTTGGGTTTTGATGGTAAAACTTTCTTCTAGGCAAATATAATAACGTAGTGGGAAAAGGAGGCATACTACTTGTGAAGTATGTAATGAGCTATACCTGTGAGGTGTTTTTTGCACACACAGTAGTTTATGTAGACTGTTTAAAAATCATCCCTTTCTTGGGTTAGGAGTACAGCCTACCGAAATGCAAACTCAATAT